TTTTTAATATGGCACTCTCAGCATGGCTCTTCTGTCTAAAGAAATGTTACTATAATAATATGACTACAGTTCTCAGAGGCTTTATTTTCTGCTTAATGATATGTGTGCATATCATGTGACTGCTTGTAGACCATATGAATATATTATGGCTTAAAACTCAGAATTTAAATTTCATGGGCCATGCTAAAATTCAATAAAACTACATTTGAATGCAAGGGAGAAAGAGCAACATGTGGCTTGAATTTTCCTTAAAATACACAGAGGATAGTTAAGGGGGAAAGTGCTTGGGACAGAGTACATCTGGAGTTTTGCCAAACTCATACATTTAAACAATGGCTTAAGACTGAATTCAAACCCAAGCAAATCTCTTCAATCTCCCCTAAGGAGTACAAGGTAGTATTTCAGCTTTGAAAGATAAAGTTAATGAAAATACTTTCAATGAACAAAATGAAAATGTTGGACTTGAAGAAACAGTTTCGCCCTTTGGAATTTAAGAACTTCCTACCTTCATTTGGATTCCTGTTCTGCATTTTCACCCACAAAGAGGTTATCATTGTCTTTTTGAAGCCATTTCTTTAGTTTTCCATCTTCAATGCCGATTCCACCCTGACCCACACCCCATGTAGAATCATATACATACAATCCGATGAACACTAATACTACTTCAAACCCTTGAATAACATCCAAACCTGAACATGACCCCAGACTACCCTTTCTGCCTATCTCATAGTCAGGTACAATGGGTGAGAATTCTTATCAATGGAGAAGTCAAATCCCAGCACAATTTACTGGGATCTCTGTATAATTTTTGCATCTCAGAAGCAGCAGTTTTGTCAGGTGAATGGAATTTAAAGGGAACCAGTGGCTTTGGTGGGCAAGGTTTCTTCTCCTAAGGCACCACTTCTATCCTTTTCTGCAGTCTTGCTGTACTATTGCCAAGCAAGCAAATGTCACCTTTGAGTCCCAGCAGAACATGCGTTGATCTGCTTTCCAAACCTCCCAAATGCAAAGATGCTTGGAGTTCAGCAGTGCCACTTCCAGCTAACTGGCTCTGATTTCAGTGGATACAACCAGCCCTCCTCCCTGGCTGGACTAATGCCAGTCTACTTAAGGAGATAATTGACCACAAACCAGCCTGACTGACAGGCTTTCTAAGTGCCAGATGACAAATGTGCTAGTTCTGGCCTTTGCAGGAGGGCTTGTTCTCCTAGGGACCACAGCTAAAATAGCTTTGTCCTCCCTCATCCCTGAGCTCTCTTCTCAGCTCCCCAAGGAAATGTTATCAAATAGATCATTCCAAGTTGTTTTCCTTCTATTTTAATTTTAAGGGCAGCTATCTTTGTCCCTCCTCTTTGCTTCTCCCCATGTTTCTTAGGTTTCTGTGCCTGAAGTAGTATACAGGCTAAGCCACTACAATGTTTTCTATCATCCTGGAAACAAGGAGCATAATTTCAGGTTCTCTCCACTAGTACTTGATAAACCAAGAGTTTTATTTATCTTGTGAACTGAGATGGTCATACATTTGTAAATGTCTCTATTTCTATCTCACTGATGTCCAGAACTTACTTACTTCTATTCCAACATGTAACTAGAGGGAGAACCACATGAGAGATCATAATGAAATCACGACTCAGTTGAGAGTTACAGTTAGATTTCAGATCCCACCCTAGTTAAGAGGGGGATCTTCAGGATTGTCAGTATGAGGGTTTAATTGGGACCTCCCGTGGGATCAGAGCTTTGACAGAAACCTCCCCCCACTTTGTTTATTTACATGAATTCCTTTGTTCTACAACATCAATGCCATGTATAGCTTCTGTTGGGTACCAGGTTCTCCTCTTGATGAAAACTTGTGTAGAATCATCTCTCAGCTCACTTTACCTTTCCTTCTCCTTTCTCTCTTTACAGTAAAAACTAGGCACAACAACCATGCTTTCCCCACAGAGGGAGGAGGGGTTCTGGGGATTTGGGGCTGTGAGACTCAGTTGCTAAGAGTGTCCTGGGAAATGCAGAGGGTCAGTTACTCATCCTTCTCTGCCAAGTTGACCCAGAGGCTCCTTGCTTCTCAGGACAGACTATCACTTCAGCTAGCCCCCTGGGTGCCAGATGTCATTTTGGACTGTGTCCCTCTACAGGAAGTGGGAAAATGGACACTGCTAAAAAAAAAAAAAAGCCCACTAGCCCTTTGGGGCAGGTGGAGAAGGACGAAGAGATATTCTTTAGAAGAAATCACTGGGATCCAGTGACTGCCATTCTTTGGCCTGATGACTTGCCCTCCCCACACTAGGGGTCCCAGCCTGGAGCTTCAGGGCACAACTCACCCAGAGGTGGACCAAGCAGTCAGGCTCCCAAGTCTCCCTAAGTCTATGCTGCCCACGCCAGTGGCTTCCCTTTTCTGTCTTTCAACACTCTCAGATTATTGTAAAGGAAAACCCGGCAGGAATCTTTGCAGGCTCAAGCTTAAAGTTGGGATACACTACAGTTGCTTGGGCCCCCAAGGAGGCAGAGACCTCCATTGAGACTTGTCTCGCAGGCGAGCCCAAAACTTAGCTGAACGGGTGCAATAAAGTGAAAGTGAAGTCGCTCAGTCGTGTCCGACTCTTTGCGACCCCTTGGACTGTAGCCTACCACGCTCCTCTGTCCATGGGATTTTCCAGGCAAGAGTACTGGAGTGGGTTGCCATTTCCTTCTCCAGAGGATCTTTCCAACCCAGGGATTGAACCTGGATGTCCCGCATTGTAGGTAGACGCTTTACCGCCCGAGTCACCAATGGGACTTGCAAATAAGGGATGTATGGAAATTTTTATTTTTAAGAAGCAATGCAAATCCCCTTAGTGTCATTACTGTGAGCAGGTCATTTTGTTGGCAGTTTATTTTCTTCTGATGAAAAGGTTAGAGGCGGGCATCTGTTGGGCTGGTTCTAGATGGAGCCCTGTTCGCGGCGCCCCACCACTTCCCCGCGTAGCTCCGCCGGGGTTGCAGCCCTCAGGGTCTCTCCAGCGAGCACGGGCTGCGGTCGGCTGCGGGGCCCCGGCTCTCCCAGGACCCAGGCTGCGGAGGATGCGCAACAGGTCCCCTAGGCCGCCGCGGCTGGGCGCGCGCTTCTTGGGAGTGTGGCCCGCGGCGGCAGTGGCGGCGTCCGGGCGCCCTCCTCCCCGCCGCGAGCCCCCCCCGCAGACTTAGTGGGGCGCCGCGGCACCCATCCAATGACACCGGGACCCGGCCGGGCCCACTCTCAAAAGAGGGTCAGAGAAACCCTCAGAAAAGGGAAAGGGTATTGGTGATGATGTGTTGCTAATAACCCTCACGTAGGAACAGAAGAAGTTCCTTGTTGCGGCTTTTTTCCCCTAACCCGGCCTCTCCCACTGAGGTGGACTAGAGCTTGGTTAGGAAAGCAGCGGAAGAATGGGTGGTAGAGATGCAGTTACTGCGCCAGCTGATAAAAGGAGGCATGGAGGAGGAAGCCTGTTCAGGCACGGCTCCTCCTGTGAACTCATCCTCTTGATGCTCACAAGTTTGAAATGAAAAGGGAAGAGGAGGATGTGCCACGTCCCGACTTTCCCCCAGTGGGCACTCACACCGCGGCCTCGTCTCTTGAGAAGCGAAACACCTTCACACCGGCACATCCAGAGACAAGCTTTAATGGCGAACACCGCGTACAACACAGGCAGACATGAATTTGGCACAGAGTCACAACCCGAAAGCGGCGCGGACACAAGCCAGAGGTGACTCGGGGCACAGTCAGCGGCCTCCTCCCTACCCGCCCCCGTTCGTTCCCAAACGTTTGTCGCGAGGAAAGTGCTGTTCTGGGGCTCAAAAACGAGGACGAGCAACAGCCGCAAGGCAAGTTTCTTTTCCATTCACGGACTGAAACTGAGGAGTTCTCCTGAAAGACGAACGCGCCCCAACAGCTCACGGAATACCAAATCGACGGTCATCCTCACACGTCTGTCCCAAGGAAGCTGGAGGGCAACGGCCACGAAACGCTCATGGAAACGTTAAGAGCAATCTTGTCGGGGGGACACGGCAGGTTTTTCTTGCCTTCTAGAGTTACGGGAATAAAATCCCGCGATGCAAGTAATTAAAAAAAAAATCCCAAATGGAACGGATTATGGGAATTCACATTATCTGGGGGCTCCTCAATGGTCTCATCCGATTGATTAACAAATCGCAGGTAGAAAGTCTCCTTTAATGTCTCTCTTTGGTTTTGTTTCCCAAACTTACTTTTGGAATCTGAGGCTTTGTGCTTTAAGCTGAGGCCATTCTCTTTTGTGCAAACTAATTGCTTTAGCCGTTCCTTCTATCCTTCTCGACCCTCGGGTCAGAGCCAAGAAACTTAACTGTTTCCCAAAATCCATCGTGAGGTTCCCACTATCCGCACCCCCCCCCACCCCCCGCCCCAGGGCTTTATTCATGCTACTATGTCCTTCTCCATTTCACTGACCAGGAAAATAACAGTATCAAATGCTCCCTCTTTCCCTTCTTAAATAAAACGAGATTTCCTTAGTGAATAGCAGTTTTGTCTAGAATATTCACGAGGGGCGGCTGTCTGGGGTTGCGACCCGCCGGGAGAAACGCGGTGGCTGAAGTCCGCCTCAGCCTCACTCTCTGTTGGATTTCTCTCGGGGAGGTTTAGCTCTGCTGGCTTCTGCTCCCGGGAATAAGAATCGAAATCCATCTCCAGTATGTCAGCGAATGAGGCTTAAACTCTTTTGTTCCCTTCCCGCATAACTTATGGATTTATAATATTAATTACAATAGAAACTCTTACCTGAAAACTGGTTTTCATTAATCTGTACAATGTAGTATAAACACAGACACAGTGTTATATTTATTCAGACCATTGGAGAATCCACTTTCGGGTTGGTTTGTCTGTTTAAATACCTTCCTTTCCCCGCAAAGACTGGGGCTCGCCAGCTGTGCCCGAGCTGGGCAGGGCGCCCTCGCCCTCTCCGGCGGGCGGTCCCGGGCCGGCGTCTGTCCACGAGGACCCGCTGGGTCCCCTAAGAGCGCACCAGCACGGAGTGCAGAGAGCCGCCTTTGGTCTCGGCCGCGCCGGGGGCGGTGGGCTCCATCAGGGGGGCGGCAGGCGAGGCGGCGGCCGCCGGGCACACGGTGGACTGCGCCGGCGGCTGCGGTGTGGCCCCGGGGACAGCGAGCGTCGGCGGCAGCGCGGCCACTGGAGGCAGCGCGGGAGTCGGCTTGATGGGCACGGGCACCGCGGGGAGGCTCTGGCTTGCCGAGTGGCACAAGGCCTTGACCGGCACCCCGAAGGCGCCGTACTCCGGGCCCACGGGGACCCCCGCGGCGGCAGCGGCGGCGGCAGCCGCGGCCACCGAATCCATGACGCCGACGTGCGGCCACACGGAGCTGACCACGTTGCCCAGCTGGCCCGGCACGGGGTAACCCAGGTGGTGCATGACCGACGCCAAGGGCAGCCCGCCCGCCTGCAGCACGCCCTTGTAGTCCCGGCCTATGATGTTTTCGATGGCAAACGGGTGCTTGAAGCCCGACGTGGACGCGGCGGCAGCGGCGGCGGCGGCGGCGGCCGAGCCCAGCCCGTAGGGCGGGAACTGGGACAGGCGCCCCACGCTGCCCACTGCCGCCGCCGCCGCCGCCGCTGCCGCCGCCGCCACGGCCGCCGCCTCCTGCATCTTGCCGGGGTGAGACTGCTGCGGCGGCGGCGGCGGCGGCGGCGGCGGCGGCGGCGGCGGGGGCTGCGAAGCGAGGGGAGGCGGCGGCTGCGGAGCGGGAGGCGGCTGCTGGTGGAAATAGTGCACCATGTGCGGCGGGGGAGGCGGCGGCGGCGGGTGGTGGTGATGATGGTGATGGTGCGCCGCGGCGTGGTGGTGATGGTGTGGGTGATGCGCGTGGTGGGGGTGCACGTGCCCTCCGGGCCCAGCGCCCGGCGCGCCCTTGGTGCTTCCAGCCTGCAAGTGAGGGTGGTCCGCGCGCAGCACCTTGAAGCGCTTGCGGCGCCGCAGAAAGCTGCCGTTCTCGAACATGTCGCCGCAGTCGGGATGCAGTGCCCAGAAGCTGCCCTTGCCGGGCTGGTCGGGCCGCCGCGGGATCTTGATGAAGCAGTCGTTGAAGGAGAGGTTGTGGCGCAGGCTGTTCTGCCAGCGCTGCGTGTGCTCGCGGTAGTAGGGGAAGCGTTCCATGATGAACTTATAGATGTCGCTCAGCGGCAGCATCTTTTCCGCTGAGTGCTGGATGGCCATCGCGGTCAGCGAGATGTAAGAGTAGGGAGGCTTTTGGTCGCTGTACGAACTTTTCCCCGGCCGCGGCATCGCCCCCGGCGCCTCCGCCGCCCTCTGGCCCCGCAGCGTCGCTCCGCACCCCACTCCCGGGGCCTGGCGGTCTTCACTAACCCGCACTCCGCCTTCCAAGGCCCGCCACCCCGCCCTCTTTCCCCCCAGGCCCGCTCGCCGTTTCCCTCCCGCCTTCTCCCTGCTGCCTGTGGTCTGCGCGCTTGGCCTCTAGACCCAATTTAGTAATCCGACGCTCGCAACTTCTGGCCTCGACGGCTGCGAGCCCGCGCGCACAGTCGCAAGCGGGGCGCGCCAGCTTCACCACCACCCTTCCGGCGTCTTCCCGCGGGTGGCCAGAGGTTAAGCGTGGGAGCTGGCGGAGGAGGAGTCGGGAGGGGCCATGTTTCCTTCTGGCTTCGTCTCGTCTCTCGGTCCGAGGGAAGCGCAGGCCCAAAGAGCTGGAAGGGACTGGGCAGTCAAGACTCTGGCCCTTTAAATCCGAGTTGGCGCTCGTTGTGCAGGAGGCCGGGGGCGGCGGGACTGAACAGCGCGCTGCACGCCGCCCCTTGACCGGTCCCTTAATCCGCTGTGAGTTCTTGTGCTCCTAGAGAGGAGAGGCGAGGTAAGGCCAAGGGAGCTCGACTCTGGCAGCCTGCGTCTCCCTTCTCTCCGGCAGCTAGCAGCGGATCCGGGGGGTAGAGCTGTAGGCCGTCGCCTTGCGGCGGGGGTGGGGGGCAGGGGGGAAAGTTTGTAGGTTTCTGGAACCGCGGCGCGCGCTAGCAGACCCTGAGGAGGGGCGGGGGCGCTGAACGCGGGGCGCAGGCGGAGGGGCTTCTGCGAGCGCCAGGAGGGCCCGGGGCTGGCCCGGGCCGCTCAGTTGCAGCCGCTCTCCCGGGCCGGTCTGGAGCTCGAGAGGCGGCGGCGGCGGCTGTGGTAGCGACGCGCTCTCCTGACTGCGTTTTGTAGTGGTCCCCGAGACGCCGAGACCCCCGCAGCTCGCGCTTCGAGACTATCACATGACCGAGGCTGAGGGACTCAGCCGCCGCCGCCGCCGCCGAGTCTCTTGCTGAAGAAGGGGCTAGAAGGCGCCGAGCCTCGCCCCCGCCCCCTCCTCCGCCTCGGCTCGGGCGCCCCCACCCCCAGAATTTACCACCCGCTCGGCAGCCCCCAGCCGCGGCGGAGTGGGGCGGGGGGCGCAGGCTGTTCGCAGGGTGGGGCACGGGGCCCTGTACGGTTCCCACCACTGCACCCCACCCGGGTCGCAACGCACGGTAGAGGGGGACCGGAGACTGCTTTCTCGTTCTCCTCCTGCACCTCCCGCCTGTCCCCGCCCTTTCAGGCTTCCCTCTTCCCACCTACCCACTCTGGTCTTCTCTCTCTTTACACTGCTTTCCTCCTGGACTAACCACTCTGGGTCACGTTCACAGCACCGTGGCCTCGAGACCTCTTCTCTGCACGTAATCTCAAAGGCCGAAGGGTTGGAAGGAAAAGCTATCGCAGAGGCGAGCCAGGGACGTTTTCGCCAAATGTCAATTTCATCACCATTTTATTGCGCGCCAACTGAGTGTCGGCCCCAGTGATAGGCACCTGGTACATGGAGGCCTGGAACAGCTCTTTGCGCTCCAGAACCGCAGTCTAGTGGGAGAGACTGACAGTAGCTGGGAAATTTGGATAGATACTAAGGGCTTTATGGATGGAGGCCTCACCAAGAGCGCGTGGATGGGACAGCGTTTCTTTGGGTGGTAACATTTGAGCTGGAGCCAGAAGGAGGGCTTGGAAGCTCAGCGGTCTCATCACCTGGGTGTGTCAGAGCGCAGTCTTGCTATTTTCAGCACATCGAGGGAGAAGGAGATAATTAGAATTAAATAGGAGGTCAAAATGATCAATCCATAGGGCCCTGATATGATCTGTGAGGTTGGATGAGCCATAGCGCTGAGATCCCCATGCTTGATGGGGTTCCTGAAGCAGTTTCCTGCTCTCCATCCTCTTGCACACCCATGAGCGAATCCCAACTGACTGGAGAGAACCTGCAGTTATACTCTGGTTTTGGTTGTCTCTGCCAGAGGAAAAGCAGAGTTTGGAGATTGTATGTGTACATATATACATATATATGTATATACAGATACACATACATTCCTTCTGTCCCTTGGCCTCAGTTTATTTGTAAAATGAGATTGTGAAGTTGGAAATTTCACGGGTGCCTTCCAGTTCGGAGATTTGAGGAGAAAGGAGCAGTTAAGGACTGTGGATCATTCTGTATTTAATTTCTTCTATTCCGTGTCTAAATTTGGAGGCAGAAGGCTGTTGGCCCAGACTGTTTCGGAGACTGCCCCTTGCTCTTCCACCTTGACGACACCAGGTCAAGTGTTTTTAGCTTCCGACGTTTGGTGAGCTGCCCAAGAAGAGGAGTAGGAGAAGGGCTGTTCGCCCGTCGGGCTGCAGGAGTGCAGTGAGCGGAACAGATTCACAATATTCATCCTCAGGCAGGAGCTGGATTTCTGGCTAGTGCTATTGGCCAGTTTTTTTCTAGGTCCGCAGACGTTTTAGAATAGGCGTTAAATGTCGAGCGTGCCAGAGGGCCTCAGGGGGAAAGAGCAACTTCTTGGTTTGTCCTAAGGCAAGGAGACCCTTTCAGAGCAGGATGCTTTCGCTGTCACTTCAAGCCGGGAACGCTCCTTCCGCCAGTGGAGTTTTTGCGGGATTTTTGGTCTGCTGATGAAGTTTAAAGAACCAAGCAGCAGACGGCCTCCTGGCCTCAAGAAGTCACGGATAAATTCCGAGGAGGTCCACAGTTACAGTGACAGCTAGGGCCCGCTGGCGCCGGGCGTCCCTTACTCCCTTGACGGATGTGGTGCGAGAACAGCCCTGTCCAGGTCCAAGAGCCCCCGACGGGCTGCTGGTGGGAGCTCGCAAGCCCAGAGCGCAAAGGCTCTTCCGGCCCTGGCCCCGCACGCCTCGCGGGCACCGGCAAATTTTGTCAAAAGATCTTTTCCGCGCACTCCGGGAAAAGCCGTGCCTCCTGTTTGGAAGCAGCTCGAGGACGTTCTCGTCTGGCAACGGGACTCCGAGGCGTCTGGGGACAGCAAGGGGAGGGGGCCTTGAAGGGTGCTCCGGCCCCGCGGCGGGCGCATAAAACCTCAGCACTGTATGTAGCTGGAGCCGGACGCTCGCTGGGTGAGCTCGGCCCGGCCCACGGACCTGCCGCCACCACCTCGTGGGGACGCGAGCCGTGTGACCGGCACCTTCCGCCTCGGCGAGCCAGCGGCGTTCAGCTGGCTGAGCGGCTCCGAGCAACTCGAACCCAATCAGAGCCGCGGAGGCCGAGCGAGAGCCCCAAGCTTCACGCTTCCTCGTCCCGGGTGGACTTGTCAAGAGTAGAAAGTACTTCCCCGCCCCGAAGCCCCAGCCAGCTCCCGCGGTCCGGGCCCGCGCCGCAGCGGAGAGCGCGGCCGAGGAGTATTGTGGGGGATTCCCGGGGGGCGCGGGGCCTGGCAGCCCGGCTCCGGCCGCCGTGGGGGGCGCGCCCGCCCTCTCTCCCCCTCCTTCCCTCGAGGTTGATTTAATTCCGGCAAGTTTTGCAGGCGCTCAGCAGCACCGGCGGGGGCCGGTACGCGCGCGCTCCAGCTGCCTGCAGACAGACCCCCGTTCAAGAAAAACAGATCAAGTAACCACCCTGGCACCAAGCAGTCGGTTTCAAGTTTCCGCGTGTAATGTTTTATTTTTTAAAACAACCACTACGCTATACAAATATTGGCTGGCGCTGAGGACGCTGGCAGGCAAATCATCGCCCCGGGCTTAGTGTAATTATCTCAGGCGTATTTGGTTTACCCCTTAGGCAATTGTTGGCGACGCTCGGATAGAAAGAGGGGTTCCTTGCAAGTTTTTATTGTGTTTAATTGGCTCTATAGAGGGGAGTAAAAATTTGCCAGAAAACGATGTGGAACTTTAGAAGCGGCTATTTATTCATTCTTTCTCCTTTATGCCCCCTCCCCCAGCTCCGCGGAAGGTCCAAGCACCCCTCAGCCTGGGTCTAGGCCAGACGATCCCGAAGCTTCCGTGGACAGCTGTGCCCAGCGTGAGGAGTGCAGGTGATCCATGGGGCTAGAACGATGTGCAGGACTAGGAAAAAGGTAAAAGTTCATGCGCTCATCTCGATTGTCATAGGTTCTTTATTTACCCACTGACCTTTGACGTGCGGATGGTTGCCTGAGTTAGCGACATTTGGGATTCTCCCAGGCACGTTCACTGTCACCCCATCCAGCCTCTCGCCCGGCCCCCAGCTGACTCCAGCGCCCATTCATTTCCCAACCCCTAGCCCTATCAAGAGCTTGAGGCGGGTGGGAGAAGGCCGGCTCCGGATCCCGCGCACGTGATTTCCAGTCCTAACCCTGGCACCACCTGCTGGTTGACCCTGCTGGCGTAGTTTCCTCGCTCCGGACTTTCCTCGCCCCGACTCCCGGAAATAAGCAGGAGTCACAACCGAGCTTTCAAAGGCCCCACGCGCTCACGAGCTGAGTTTTGAGGTTGTGCTCCTGATCCGCGACGTGGGTGTGTAGGAGGCCTGGGCACACCCGCTGAAGGACCCCAGCATCAAAGCATCCCGGCACCCTATGGGGCAGCGGCATCGTCCTTCGCTCCCGTGGTCCCGGGAAGCCTTAGTCTCTAGCCTGGCCGCCAGACCCGGACATTTCCGACCCATCCAGCCGGGGCCCTCGCCCAGCAGGCGCTGGGGGCACAGGTGTTCCCTCCACCACTACTTGGATTTGTGCATGGAGGCTTGATTTGCCTTTATGGAATTTCTCCGACTCCCCGTGGGAGGACGGAAGGCAGAAGCGAGAGCACTGAGCCTGGAGGCATTTCTTTTCTCAGAGAAAAAAAACAGACGCCTTGAATTTGTTAGATGATACCGGAGATCCAGTCCCGCCACCTGCTGGCTTTGTGCTTGCCCGTCTCCTGGCCTCAGTCTCCTCTTCTGTAAAATGGTCATAACCCTGCTACCTCTTGGTGTGATTTTGAGCAGTGATATAGAATATTTTCAT